TCGTACATTCCAGAAACCGACGCTCGTACAATGAAGGCTGCTCTAGATGACATACAAGCTGTCGATAACGAAGAATTGTTAGACATTCTTGAACAACATGAAGTGAAAATTATCCCAAAACAAGAAAATCTTGAGAAACTTGTAAATGAGATAGCCCATAAAGAGCTGATCCAGGCATCAAAATAGACTGTTGGTGTCCTTATCTGAAGCAGATGCATTTAACTGAAGAGAAGTTGGATTCGCTATACTCTGCCCTACTGCCCACGCCAAAGAGAGTTCTGAATTATCTTGTATTTCCGGTAGCAATGTCGTCTGATGAAATCGCAGTCTCTAATCATCTCAAGAGATTTATCCGGGAACTGGACTATGTTTCACTGAAGAAGTTTCTACGCTTTTGTACCGGGTCGGACTTGTTAATCTGCAAGAAAATTGAAGTTGCTTTTGTGAATGTCGTTGGGTTGGCTAGACGCCCAGTAGCTCATACCTGTTCATGCTTATTAGAATTGCCAAAATTTTACGAAAACTTTTCACGATTCAGGACAGAGTTTATGTGTGTTCTGAATGCCAACATTTGGATAATGGACATAATCTAGGCGTTATCTTACGTCTTGGAGTAGGTAGTGTGACGTACAATATGTATGCAGTACACATATACATGTACACTACCAATATGTACATTGAACATTATACATGTACCTGAGAAGTACTCACGTGATAACATAAAAAAAAGTATTAATCTGTATCGTTTTAGAGTTCTGGTACCGGTAAGTGATTTTTGTTGTCTCAAAACCCAGAAGAAAATGAGATATTTTCTTGTTCTTACTAAGTATAGTTTCCAAAATTATACCACACAGTGTTATGTATTGATGGTTTTAATCGACGCATCTAATTAGTAGTCATATGGAAATACACAGATACAAAGTCTATGATTATCTTTTTCATTTTCATTAGGAATCGGATCCCTGTTTGCTGTTTCTGAAGATTATATGGCATAATAAGTATGTGCAGATGTACCGTATAGGTTTTTTCGTACTTAATAGGACCAGGTGCTCTATTAGAACTGTTGAATTGTGCATGGTGTTTCACTTAGTAATGAAGAATAATGATTTTTCATTTTCGTTGTCATTTTTTTTCATTAAATAAAGGAGAAGAAAAACTTTAAATTATGTGTTAGTGTGTTTCTCTTTATAGCATAAAAGAAGGTAGATTGCTGGAACCATTGTGAAAAAAATTATGTGTATATCACGAGCATAAAAATGCACGGCCAGACCGGGGTTCGAACCCGGAACCCTCTGAACACTAGAAGGATGCTCTACCAATTGGTCGCCGGCAATCGACCCGGTCCAGTTCCATTAGACTCCTCCCTCCCTATTTTAAGTCTTCGCCCCAGAAGACCCAACACACAACCCAGGATCGAGTATCCCCTTGTCAAGTACTTTATCTCGCTTGGAACAAGTTTTGGTCACAGGCACCAAATGTAACAAGAGCGGAGAAATGCACGGCCAGATCGTACGCTCTACCACCCGATCTACCCGGTCGCCGGCGATCGACCCTATCCAGTCGAGCAAGTGTTTGTTCCCTTAATCATATGACAAGGTTTTAATAAATTTAAAAACCTTACAGAAAAATCTAAATATCAAATAACTTATTTAAACCATTCGAACCTATAAAAAACTTGCAAGAAACATTTGATCCAATTTTCCGAAAGAAGCATACTCAAGAACACTATTTTAGTTGCACGTTATGGAAGTTCATAGTTAATGGGATTTAACTCGTCCGGAAGTGGGACATTCCCCTGTGCAATTTAAGTCAGACACATTGGATGAACTTTGACATGCGTGTACTCTTACTCTTCTCAAGCCTACACGTGTTTCTGAAATTCTTCCCTCTTTTAGTACGTCAATGCAGTTTTTCATTTGTTCATGTTTTGGCCTCATATTATCATTAATTTCGAATTTCGAATCTATTGATATGTTGGTATATCCTTTTAATTAAAGAAAGATATTTAAGTTCAGTATATGTTTAGAGTGAGTTCAAAACTCAGAATGCTTTAGAGGTCATTGAGATTTCTCTATATAAAATATTGAAATGATTGTTTGGGCAAATATTGTTCTCAATATACTCAATGTAAACTAGTAATGTAATGTAAAAGCAAAATCAGCTTAACAAGATTTATTTTGTCATTTGTTAAATTACATCTATACATCTAGCGATTTTCATTATAAAATTTAATTTAGTTACTCCGACATTCTTAATCCAAACTTATATTCATTCGTGTTGTGAAAACGGATGATGCTGGAAAAAAGTTGAATTTAGCGACAGACAAAACTAGATCTACCATCAATCTGACATATTCAGTTATTCATCTGTTTTTCGTCCTTTTTTAATAGTTGTTGAAAAAAGTGTTTTCACAAAAAAAAACCCTTGTAAAGAATATGAATTATCTTAAGCTGGAGTGATGCTCTACAATAGCGAGCGCACGATCCCCCTCAAATCTTGGTATAATTGTTTGGCCCCTGTTGCATCATTTTGAGACACAAACCCATATTCTTTCATAATATCACAACACAGTTCTGCTACGGTCTCATCACAGGGAACGGTAGGTTTTGGAGATGTCTCCTCTGCACACATTTCAATTTCATCTTCATCAACTGGACAGAGTCTATCGTCGACATTGTATAATTCCGGGAGGGTATACATCATCAATGGACGGTTTCCTCCGCGGACAGCATTGGTCCTTGATGCGATTCTGTGCGTGTTCCATGTTGCAGCCAATGTATCTAGCTCTTCCTAAAAAAAATATAATAAATTGATATAAAATATGTTCAAAAGGTCAATATTTAAATTGCCAGCATTATGGTTGTCCAGAAAGCGGAAAGACCGCCATTTTTGAACATCTTAAGGTAGCTAGAATAATATATACGTAGACTTGTTCCGGAATTTATTATAAGAATGGAGTATCGCTTTTGTATACTTTTGCGATTCAGACATAAAAATAGCTGACGAGCAAGCCATCTTACGTGGCATAGTTATGGCGTCAACTTCAAACTCATCGCCGATATTAAGATGAAACATGACGAAATCTTCTCTTTATAAGTACATGTATTAAAAACAGAATACAAATATCAAGATACGTCATGTATATTTCATGCCAACATACCTGTATTAATTTCATGAAACAGAATTGAATCAAACTTTTGTCGAGGAAATCTCCACAAAACAAATGTAGTCCAGCCTCACTTGCAAAATCTGCAAAGAAATCCATCCAAAATTGTCCCATCTCCTTGCGCAAGCAACCCCAAAACCACTCAATACGCTGATTATGCGTACTTTTGCCGTAAAGAAAACTGTTATTGCCAGACAGATCATCTCCGTGATTTCTTCTAAGGAACACTTGCATTTGTTCAATGTAAGCGTTTTTTGTCCCCATATCTGCACGAATGCGTTGAGGGCAACCTTCCCTCCGTCTTACTGCTTCAATAAAGTAGTGCGCGATTACTTTGGGGTCGTTGTTTGTAGTGTGAGCTTCAAGCCAAATGTTTCTGGAGAAGCCATCAATGCAACCATGTATTGCAATACCATATGGTTTTAGTTTATCGTACCCATCTATGTGCCACACAAAGTTAGGTCCCTTACTGATATATTGACGCCGTCGGAGTCTTTGTCTTTTACGGTGAAAGACACCTTCGTGATCCAATAACTTTAAGAGATCGTAGACAGTGTCTCTTGGAATATTAAAACCAGACTGAATACACTTCTGGTGCATCCATCTGTACCCGTGAAGCTTCCCGGAAGTCTCTAGCTCCCCAGTTATAAACAATGCGACATCAAGTATATCAGAATATCCAGTTTTTCTGGATAATCGCAAACTCTTTAAAATCCTCTTCAGTGTTGACATACTTATCACTACATGGTGGTTTATTGCAAGGAAGCTTAATATTTCTGGATAGGAAAGTCCTATGTCAAAATACAATTTTAGGAGGTTTTCCAATTTTGCTCTTCTCATGTTGTCTTCCCATTTGAAATCACGCATAACTATTCGTCTATAATATAATTTTTCCTCGTAATAATGACTTTTCAAAGTCGTAATAACGATTAAATTTCTCGTAATAACGACCTTTTTCTCGTTATAACGACCTGTAAAACTCGTAAAAACGACTTTTTTCTCGTTATAACGACCTTTTTCACGTAATAACGACTTGTAAAACTCGTAATAACGACCTTTTTCTCGTAATAACGACTTGTAAAACTCGTAAAAACGACCTTTTTCTCGTAATAACGACATTTTTTCTCGAAATAACGAGAAATTAAAAATATTCTCTGACTTTCATATGACCTCAGGCGGCTTTCGTATACAGGCGCCAACTTTGAACTCATTTGAAAACAGGCTTGATAAATATTGGAAAAGTGTTGATAGAACATATAACATCTTTATTCCAACCAGAAGTGACAACATTAAAACAATGGATTGTGACAAGGTTTCGGATCTGAACATAGAGACATAAGGCCAGCGTTCAGTAACTACTATGCTATACTAAGCTAAGCTATATCGTGTCATCTTTGAGTTTCAAGCACGTTTTTGAAAATTACCGACAATTCTACAGGAGTTGTCGTTCCTTAGACAACTTAATGAGTTGTTATTGTTTGAGTTTTTGAAATCAAGTATCAGCAAGTTGTAAAAAACAGTTTATTCTATTCTCCTTAACTTAACACTTTTATGGGGCGGGGTGGTGGAGGTGGAGGGGAGGTGGGGGAAGGGGGAGGGGGTGGGGGGTTATACCCGTGTCACAAACACACTGTATTGGTATAAAAATTTACTTCATAGTCGTTGATCGCATTTCGTGATCAATCTTTTCGAAATGCATTTGAAATAAATAATTGCAATGTAATCAGAATCAGTCGAAAACTGGAAAAATTTGTATGTCCCCATTAAGCGTTGAATCATTTCATTTGGGCGGACATTATTTTCTACGGTAAAAATTACACTGACACCGGAAACACGTAACAGTTGAGGTAGACCTTGAGAGAGAATTAGACGCGATCGACGAGCAAATACAGCACATAAATCGTCCAGCATGGCTACAGCAATTCCCCAAGTTGAAGACTTGCTCAAAACAGCATGTGTCGCCTTCGAAAACCGATTTGGCCGCAAACCCGAGGTTGTGGGATGCGCGCCGGGTCGGGTGAACTTGATTGGGGAGCACACCGATTACAACGAAGGGTTCGTGTTCCCGATGGTGAGTGAGACTTAAAATCACGTCACTGTTCTAGATTGTCGTGCTTCGCCACAACATGTAAACACATACTCACAGTCAGCTATTCGGCGTGAAAGTTTGTAAATTTTTCTTTACCGCGTGTAAAATAATATCGTCTGGTTATCGGTTCCGGACCGTTATGTATTTCGGAACGACCACTTTGTCGAGCCATATTACATTAATCATATTGAACTACGTGACCTTGCACACGGATTATTTTGATTGTTGGAACATGTCACGCTTCCAGAAAGAATAAAAAATGTGATTTAAACCATCCACCATGAAATATTATTAGTACATATTTCATTGGTGGTTTTTTTTCTTGCTACACATTTTTTTAACATGTCAAACATCCGCCTAGATATGATGAGATAACCTATCGGTTCATCCTCAGATGCCTATGTTTTATTGTCAACCACGAAAAATAGGGCGCGCCTTCTCGCAATTGTTAGGTTTCGAAATACAAAAGTCCAACCTTTCACGTTGTATATTGAAAAAATTATGATTTATAAATTATCACTTTTTTAAATTTCTGATTTTATTTAAATAGCGAGTTGTAGACAGAGAGATGAAAAATCAACTTTATTCGAATAGTCTGTGTTGTAAAACAGAAATTTACCAAGAAATATGGCTTATATAAGATTAAATAAATCAAACAATAAAGACTTGAATCTAACCCTTCAGAAAAAGTGCACATATAAACACCGATATCCACCACTTTCGCACCATAAATGTATTTTAAATTTTTATTTTCATCAAAATAATGATTTTATGTTTTACATGTACTTCTGGGTCACTGTTATCTATCTTAAACGTCTCTGAGATTTAGTGATGTCATCAGAAAACAAAAGTGCAGTCACATGTTCGATACACCTGTTGATCATTTTAGGTGAGTGACTTTGAGGACAGATCTGTGGATATTTTTTGAGAAAAATACTGGTGTTTCACTGATCAGTTTTTAAAATAAATCTTAAAATATGAACATATTTGAATTCATTTGAAGATAAAAGATACATGTCTGGAATGGTGCCTAGAAGGTAAAGATACAATGTTTTTATTTTTAGATAGAAGATAAAAGATACAATGTCTTAATTTGTGTATAAAAGATACAATGTTTGAGTAAGTGTATAGTTATAAATCAAACAATGTCTTATTTTTTGTATAGCAGATAAAACATAAAATGTCTCAATTTGTGCATAGAAGAAAAAAACATACAATGTTTGAATTAGTATATAGAATATTAAGAAAAATATGTAATGATTTGTGTAGAGAAGATAAAACATACTATGTTTTTTTTTATTTTGATTTAGAAGATAAAGTTACAATGGCTGTATCCCTGAACGCATACATTTTAAAAACATGTCTTGGGTGATATGTTTACACAGTGATTATAGTCTGTTTCCTTGTGTAGGTAGTTATATTTACCTGTACAAGTTACCTGTATTTACCTGTGAGTGTACAGGCATCCTGATTTTAGGGTGGGAAATTACAGATGAGGACATATAGTGTATAATAGACTTATTTAAAGTAAAAAAAAAAGAAGAAATTACAATTGTATGGATTATATATATAAACTTTAAACAAATTATTTAAGAAATGTTCAATTTACAAGATGAAGGATATAAATTGTGTACAATTTTGTTTTAATATTTTTTAATTTATGCACAATTATGCATGCATTCAATTTCATTTATTCAAATCACAATAACTGCTTGATATGATTATTTTGATTATTTTCTTTAAAGAGTGTTTGTATAGTGAATTTTATATTCAAATGATGTTTGCTAAATAAATTAATTGATCTAAAACTGTTCACCTCTCAAAGATCAATTAAAAAACTGATGAACTCAGTTAATAGGACCAAAGCTACAGATGACATGACGCTTTGAGGTGAGTATCCAAGCTATTCATGCAGTTTATCTATATAAGCTCCCACATTTTTCACATTGGTATAATTTACTTTGCTATCATTCAACAAATCTTCTAGTGTTTCAATTCCCAATCATGGCTAATGCTCAGTTAAATTTTAAGTTCATTAGAAATAGACTTGGGGGTAACAACTTATCATATAATGGTTACTTGTACAGAATTAGATCATCTCGAGGAGAAAGGTAAATACTGATGTAAAAGTTGTTTTGTAAAAAGAAATATTTTGTTAATTCTATCCTTGAAACAAAAACTCATAAATTGTATCAATGGACTTTTTTGCTCTTAAGTATGCAATAAGGAAGAAATAATTAGAGATAAAAAGTAAATTGATGAATAAATAAATAAATGAAAATAATAAATCATATTTTTTATACATCATACTCTTGAAGTCACAGTAAGTGTTGCTTTGAAACACTGATAGATTTTTTTTTTTCTACATGTAAATCTCAAGTGTTGCAAACTATACATTTATGTGAACCAGACATTAATATCTTCTTTTTCTCTTTCAGAACTTACTGGAGATACACCATTACCAACTGCCTTGCTACAATCAACACCCGCAACAACATCATAGTAGGAGTTGGACGGCAACCACACAATCACCCGGGAGACCATGCAAGCATCGTAGCCAAGGAGATCATGAACTGCATCACTGACCGCTGCCAGAAAGAAATCAGACCAATCCCTACCATCTACAGTGAGGAACTCTGCAAACTGCGTGACAACGAATGGGATGAAGAGACAAGAACCGTTGTAGAGAAGATACCCACCTTCAACTCCAAGAAGTCACAGCTGTACAGAGCCAGACGCAAGCTTACACCAAAGCTACCAACCACTACCCAGGACATTGATCTCGAGGGAAGATGGACGGAAACCAACACTGGAGAGCGCTTCCTACACATTGACGATGGTGACCAGAACAGAATCCTTGTCTTCGCCACATCAGAGGACTTGGCTGAGCTCGCCACCGCCGACCGCATCTACTGTGATGGTACTTTCTACACGTGTCCCAACATCTTTCATCAGATCTACACGATACACATTGAGATAGATGGATCCATGTACCCAGTTGTCTACTCTCTTCTACCCGGGAAAAGTCAGCACATCTACACAAGATTCTTCACACTACTCAAGACATTCATGGCAGACAACCACCTACCCATGTCGCCCGACACAGTATTCGTTGACTTTGAGACAGCTGTCCACAACGCAATCCGCACCGTCTTCCCAGGGACTGATATCAAGGGCTGCTTCTTCCACTACACCCAATGCGTCTGGAGAAAGGCACTGATGACTGGACTACAGCTTCCATACCGGGACAACGAAGACATCAGGAGACTGGTTCGCCGTGCAGCAGTCCTACCTCTGGTACCTGAGCAGCAAGTTGAGGATGTCTGGTTTCACGCACTACAGGACATTGAGTACGCCGACCTACCAGCTGACGTGACACCATTCACGGACTATGTTGTTGACCAATGGGTGGATGGAGACCGACCAGTTTGGAACCACTACGACAACGATGGACCACGTACCACCAACCACCTAGAAGCCTGGCACGGGAAGCTGAAGAAGATTGTGCAACACGCCCATCCAAACATCTTCGAGATCATCCAGACATTCAAAGACATTCAGGCTACCAACGAAATTGCAAGACTCCAATGACGCGCCGGTGGAACCAGACGACCCCGACCCAAGAGGTACAGAAACATTGACACCCGCCTTGCCCTGCTGAAACAGAGACTGGAGAGCAACACCATAGACATCATTGCGTCTGAGCTTCTTCACTTGGGTTGAAATGTCTTGCCTAGACTTGCTCTGAGCAAAACGAATGACTTTGTACGTTGTGTCATTGTTGCAGATATTTATGTCAGTGCTATATATTCATCATTGAATTAGTGTTATCACTTATCAGTCTTTAGTGTCTCGTATATGCCGTTAGTGCTGTAACATCAATCAGTTTCTAATAGTGTGACATATAAGTGCAGTGTATTTATTAGTATTCATAGTCATGTTGCATATATTTGTCATTTCCTGGTGCTGTATATTTATAAGTTTTTGTAGTAGTGCTGCATATATTTATCATTTCCTAGTGCTGTATATATGTCTTTAGTTATGTGCTGATATGTTGTACATTGATCTTTCTTTAGATCAAAATATTGTACCTTATAGATTTGATTTGAATGTTGAACTTGATATTTTAGTTGAAGTTACATGTTATTTAAAGGTAATTGTGCTATTATGATAGAATATATTCATAAATATTGGCATCTTTGTGTTCTTTCTTTATGTTAAATGTATTTTAAATTTAATCAATTGTAATATTATCATAAGAAAAGTTAATAAATATTGAACTTCATATTGATATCTTAGTTTTCTTTCTGCAAGTTATCACAGGTTAATACAGGTAACACAGGTAGATCCACAGGTAAAATATCTCAGGTAAATATAATACATGTATGATATAGACTATAATTACCCTCCCTTTGATGTTTCTACCTATTGTTCTAGACATGTATACGTTCAGGGAACACACCGTTACAATACCTACAAATTTATTTTACATGTAGATATGATTATATTAAAACTTGTATTGGTATAGAATATGTTTATGTAGTACTACATATGGATACAGGTGTAAGTGACATTGACTTAATATTGCTGTAAACACATGCAGATATGTAAGTCCTTTTGAAAAATTTAAATATGAAGAGTAACTGTATTCAAATGATTTATTCTTGTCAAAATGTCCAACACTAACAAATTCTGTGGACAGACATAACATTTGCAAGTCTAATGTGACCTAGCTTGTCGAACAAGAAATGTCAAGGTCAATAATGTGGCTGATCAATGATTGGTCAATATTCAACACACCCATGTTTACCAGTGAAAATTTGTGTTACTAGAAACTTAACCCCACAAAAAATAGTTCCAGTTGACATTTTGCCACTAAAAATGTTCTAATTGCGAGTTTTATCTGTATAGGGTTAAGAGAACATGAAAATAGCATAAAATGCATATAATGGTATTTTTTTTAATGTATGCATGTAGCTAATTTTTTTACATGTAATTACATTTGATAAAAACTTATAAGGGTATAAAAAGTACAAAAGAAAAAAAAACATAAAAAAAAAGGCAGGAATAAAAATGAGTTAGTTGTTTCCTATATTATGTAATGATGTAAATCCACCCAAAAGTTCCATGCCAAATTAAAGATGCTGCAAAGAAAGAAATTGTATATAATCACACCATAATTACTCTGAAATGGGAATCGGAAAAAATTATTTTCTCTTAAATTTTCATTTCTCAATCATTACATATAGGCTAAAGAGAATTGGTGAAAGAATTTCTCCCTGGAACAAAGCGATCATGTTTGGGTAGTACTCGTTTATGTAACCATTATATTTGATGCATGATTTTACATCTTTATATCATGCCTGAATGATTTTCTACAGTTTCCGTTTTATTCTATGTTTTATCAGTTTAGACCACAAACAACTTCATTCAATCAAATTAAACACTTTTGTGTAGTCTATAAAGCAACAATATAATTTTTTATATACATGTATGTAAAATCCCTGTGTAATCATCTGAAGACCCATGACACAAAGTTAGATTTTCAATCGTAAAAGGCAAAACAAAAAAAACATGGATGGTAACCACACAAAAAATTTTCCCTTCTTACGCCTTTACATCAAATTTAAACAACTTATCACCTTTGATTTAAATAACATGTACTTTGATTCAAACTGAATCCGTACAATATATGTGTTCAGTGTCCACAATGACCAACATCTCTAAAGTAATATCAATATTTTGTCTTCAGGAATATTACAAGGAGTGTTCTTATGTTTATATTGCAATATCTCAATGCTGTATTGTATGGCATACCAAAATTGTTAATATTAATACATATTTCAATATCATTACATCACTAGTCATTCTTACGTTGGTTTGGCTAAACTTTGAATGGGGGTTACCATAGCTTTCTAATACCTGGTCAATAATGGGGAAAAAGTTACAGAAATTTTAATATTCAAGAAGAATATTGAAGAACTATAAAAAATTTGTTTATGTTTACATTCTCAAAAACATCGGCAACAAAGAATTGAGAACATTTTGAGTGTATTATCACATATCTTATATTCAGTTTATTAATTTTAATTAACCATAAAAGGTAAATGAAACAGTAAATTACTCTTCTTGTGCAAATAAACAAACTTTGTTACTTTGCAGGCTTTACCACAAGTTACCCTAGTTGTTGGTCAGAAAGTTGAAGGTGACTTGTGTAGAGTGGTGACCTTAGCAGATGTAAATGAGGACCGAGAGGTGGAGTTTAATGTGCCTACACCAACTGCTCCTCTACAACCAGGTTCTCCCAAATGGGCAAACTATGTTAAGGGTGTAGTGGCAAATTTTAAAGGTACATACATTAAAGAGTCAAAACAAATGGTAGAAAAAACTTTATAAATCTTATCAAAACAAAAACAGCAGACATACTTAATTTTGTTTATCTATTCTACAATAAGTCTGTGATTTGTACTAGGCCAGAAACTTGAAGTTCAATGCCAGGATAGTTTTCTTATTTGTAACTGGTATGCTTGTGTTAGTACACTAAGGTCGAAAATAGTGTGACAAGTTGGTAAACAAATTATGGAAAGAAAAAGTCCACACACACACACAAGATTGTAGCAATGTACTGTAGTCTGTTCTGCTATTCTTTGTTTAACACTTGGTCATGGATGTCTGTGGCCCCACTCATCCCTGTTAAGTACTGGCCAGTTGCGGCATATCCTGATGGCCTCCTTAACCAGCCACCAGGCTGTAGCCATACCATATTTTTTGTGCAAGTATTTGGATCTTACTTTAACAGGAGACAAGGTCGCATTCAACGCTGTAATCATAACCTCAGTCCCCATAGGTGGAGGAGTTTCTAGCTCTGCTTCTATTGAGGTCGCTACCTACACATTCCTTGAAGGTGTGACAGGTACTTTTGGACAGTTGGACAAAAAGGACAAGGCATTAGCATGTCAGAAGGCAGAGCATGAGTTTCCAGGAATGCCCTGTGGTATCATGGACCAGTTCATATCTGTTATGGGAGAGAAGGATAATGCTCTCCTCATTGACTGCAGGTGAGAAAATGTAAACAGCTTGGCAACAGGTAACCCTTGGTAACAAATTACAAGTACCACAGCAGTTGAACTTTTTAAAATTTTGCTACATAATATACATTATAATTTTGTGAGCAGAAAATTACAATTTAGAAATATCTTCATCGTTAAATTTGAAGTATAGGATCTTGAACAAATGCTGAGTCATACTGTAGTTTTAGACTTTGTCTCAGGGTGACCTACTGCTATTCTCTTTTGTCTGGCGTCGTGCGTCATAAACTTTCACCATTTTTGACTTCTTCTGGAAAACTTTTGAACTGATTTCAGTGAAATTTTACCAAAAAATTTCATGGCTAAAGGCACACCAAAATGATAAGTTACATGGCTCCAATGCTCAGGGGCCTAAAGGAGTCAAATGATTTGAACTTCAAAAACTTTCATCTCAAATCCAAGGTATGGTAGAATAAAATACTTTTCATGGATTGAAAGGCCTTCAGATGCTTTACCAAAATGGTAAATTTCATGACCCCAGGGTCTCACATTACCCCTAGGGAAGAGGGTAAAGTTCCCTATAGTTTATATTGAAAAAATTGTATTTTTAAACATTGTTCAGGAATTTTTTATTAGAAATGGTTCAAACCTGGTTAGAATTATAAGTTTAAGATGACGGTTTTATTGAGATGCACATATTGGCATCAGCTGACCTCCAGGGGCTGTTGGGTGGGGCCAAAAATGGGTCAAATTGACAGATATTTCTAAAATCTTCTTTTCAGAAGCCAGATAATGTAGAACTAAATACTCTTCATGGATGGAAGTGTCTAACAGTGCTTTGTGAAAATTGAGGAGGGGGTAAATTTTACTGTATTTTATGTAGGAAAATGACATTTTTGAGCATAATTTGTTATTTTCCTGCAGAAATTGTTCAAACTTGGATATAGTATAAGCTGACAGTTTGATGAGATACATAAATTGACCTTGACTGACCCCAAGGGGCTGATGGGTGGGGTCAAAGTGGGTGAAATTGACTGAAATGTCAAAAATCTTCTCAAAATCGCAGGTATGGTAGAATCAAGTGCTGTTCATGGATACTGTTCCTGAATGGAAGATTTTATAAAGAAAAATTCAAATATTGAGTGTAATGTGTAATTATTAAATCTTGGTTAGAAGCCTTAGCTTGGGACAGCAGTTAATGTATACACAATTGACATTTGCTTATGTGTACAATATAGTTAAAGTTATATCACTTTTTTTTTAAATAATCATTTTTATGACATGTTACAAAAATAATTATGACTCAGGTGACCGTTAAGGCCCTTGGGCCTCTTGTTTGTTTCACAAAACACCGGGAAGCCAGCATGGATGTGTCTCAAATTAAACAGTGGACCAGATACCTGATAATATAATACATTTGTACATGGCATTTAATAGCATTTGACTATAATAAATGCTGGTTTTGCCTATTAAACTGCATAGACTTAAATGTCACAAGATTTGCATTTATTGTGTCATATTATTTTTGATTTTGGAAATGTAAATAATTGAAGGAACTTTAAAATGGCCTACCTGTTTTTCCATAGATCAATAGAAAGTCGCCTGGTAGCCATGAAGGACCCAAGTGTAGTTGTCTTGGTGACCAATTCCAATGTGAAACATGAATTGACAGGAACAGAATACCCCACCAGGCGACGCCAGTGTGAACTCACCGCTAAACTCCTCAACAAGAAAAGCTTGCGGGAGGCTAATGAGGAAGATCTGCAGGGTATGTAGCCTCAAAGTGTTCCCAAGAGTACAGGTTTTCACTACAGCACATTCCTGGTCTTAAAAATGTTTGAAATGGTCAATGCTGGAAGTCAAATTACTCTAAACTTCTACATCAGGAAAATTTGTATCATACAATATTGATATAGAAATACAGTGTAAAACTGATATGTACGCTGATGACACAACTCTATCAGCTTCTGATTCTTCTATTTTAAATGTCCAAAATAAATTACAATGTGACCTTAATGCAGTCGAAAACTGGTTTACTGAAAATAGAATGATTATTAATGCTGACAAAAGCAGAAACATAGTAGTAATGATTATGTCTTAGATCTGTCTTTAAACAATACAGAGCTTGACCAGGTACAGTCTGCTAAACTGCTGGGTGTAAAAATTGATAAGTGTTTATGCTGGGAATATTATGTCAACTATGTATTAGGAAAAATAAATAAAGGTTTGTGTCTATTGAGAAGAATTAAGGAGTACCTTCCAAGGAACGCTAGAATCCAATATTTTAATGCATGCGTTTTCCCCCTCTTCCTGTATTGTTCAACAGTCTGGAGCAGATGTTCTAAAAATCTGTCACAAATGCTTTACAAAGCTCAAAAGCAAGCAGCAAGGGTGATTTTAGATATACCATATGACACTCCATCTGCTGATTTGTTTTGTGTTTTAAACTGATTGTCTTTAGCTGATTTTTATCATTACAGGACAGGTTCAATGGTATACAAATGTGTCCATCATCTTGTTCCAGAATGTTTATGTAGTTTGTTTAAAGTAAAGTCTGATATCCATACCAGATGTACAAGATCAAGCCATAGAAATATTTTACATATTTGGCAATAATTTTGTAGTTGCAGGAAGCCAACTCTGGAACAATTTGCCAAATGAGATCAGGATGGCAACACGTTTTGCCTCCTTTAAATGTGCCCTCAGCAATCACCTCATGGAGCATGGGTGATCAGATTTCATATTAATATCCTCTAAAGAACTGTATCACGTCTATTCAGTATTTTAGCAGATTATTCTCCTATTGTGTTACCTATAAAAATTTTAACCCATAATTAACTGTTTATCCTCCAGAGTATTTCTTGTGTCAACTTTGTAAACACTTTTTTATATTATTGGTATTTTCTTATGTCAATTTTATTCATTTATCTTTTTTTACTACACTATTATATATGTGTATAAGGCTGGAACTGTTTAAATTGATTTAATATTATGTATGATATTTATGCATCCTGTAATATTCCAATCCAAATTGTTATCTGTGATATCTTGCTTTCTTATTACAGGTTTACACTGTATATACAATATGTAACTTTTAACCAACACATATATACTGTATTTTACTAACAAGAGGACCATAAGGAAGATTAGCCGTTGGCTAAATATGTAATCCTCAGAAAATAAAGTTTATTATTATTATTATATTGAATTCAAATAATAATTTTCCCATGATTTAAAGTTGAGAGCCTTAATCTAGTTTTGTACCACTAAAACTATCAGTATTTGTATTTTATAATAATTTCCACTCTTCAGAGCTAAAAGATAAGGTTGATGATGAACATTTCCGAAGAGCACGACATGTGATTGGGGAAATCAGACGCACAGAAGAAGCTGCAACAGCACTAGAAAATGGGGACTATGACAAGTTTGGAAAACTCATGGTAGAAAGTCACAATGCTCTTAGGTAAGTCAAATTCAGGATTTGAAATAAATTAAAGTTTTCACCAATACTACTGATTTTTAATCATTGATATTAGAACTGTCTGAAATATATAGGACCATAAACTATCTTTATTGTGTACATACCACTCTGTAAAAAGAGCTCAATAGGTATTCTGAAATTCTGCCTCCCTGCCCAATTTTTAGCTCACATGAGACAGAGTCTCATAGTGAGGAATTGTGATCACCTTCATCCGGCGTTGTGCATTTTTAATCAATTTAATTTTAAATTTAAAATATTTCTTATATGGTTAGAATTATGAAGGTATGAATCAGTTAAAAATCTTCTTCTCAACACCCAGGTATTGTCAAATCAAATACCCTTCTATTAACCTTTCTATTCAATATTGCTCAGGTGACTGTCAAGGCTGCTAGACCTCTTGTTCATATTGTATTTATAACTTGATATAACATGCACCGGGGAGGATTTTAATGAAATCTGGTTGGTATGTTTAATGAATTAACAATAACTTTGAATCTAACGGAAACTAAATGTCTCATTGAGAAGTTCCACACTATCCCAGAAACATTGTTTGATGCATCTATCAAAATAAAAAAAGACACACATTTATTTACAGGGATGACTATGAGGTTTCTTGTCCTGAACTTGACCAACTTGTGAAAGCTGCAATGGAAGTGGAGGGAGTATATGGGTCAAGGATGACCGGTGGAGGGTTTGGAGGCTGTACTGTTACCTTAGTGAAGAAGAATGAGGTCGACAAAGCTATGGAGCATATACAGGTAAGAACTTATTTGTCAGTCTTCGCTGTCATGAACAGGTGTATTCTTAACCTAAACAGGTTATTCCTTACCATGGACAGGTGTATCCTTACCCTTAAAAGGTTATTCCTTACCATGGACAAGTGCATTCTTAACCTAAACAGGTTATTCCTTACCATGGACAGGTGTATCCATACCCTTAAAAGATTATTCCTTAACATGAACAGGTGTATCCTTATCCTAAACAGGTTATTCCTTAACATGGACAGGTGTATCCTTAACCTAAACAGGTTATTCCTTACCATGGACAGGTGTATCCTTACCCTTAAAAGATTATTCCTTAACATGGACAGGTGTATCCTTAACCTAAACAGGTTATTCCTTACCATGGACAGGTGTATCCTTACCCTTAAAAGGTTATTCCTTACCATGGACATGTGTATCCTTAACCTAAATTGGTTATTCCTTACCATGGACAGGTGTATCCTTACCCTAAACATATATCAGAATCAATCCAACAGACTAGAGGTGGGTTCTTCCATAATTTCATCCCTCAAGTCAGGCTTTATCAGGACAATATTAACCTCAGCTATATATCTAAAGAACTCTTAGGGAAGGCAGATTTAAATTGTGACTTGTGACGTTTACAGTCAAGAGCGATAACTCTCCAGTGCTAAGTATGATAACTTCCCTAATAGTCCATTTTAGCAGTACTAAGTAATCAAATATTGAAATCCTTCACGATTAAGCAATTAATAAAAATTATACACTTTCTGTAAAAATTATATAGATAAAACATTTAATGTTCATCTAAGCACACAGTTGAAGATGACTCCGACATGTACTGTAACCTGTGGTAGTCCACAAAAACATCTTCCTGTGATGAATTGCGAGATGATGCTGTAATGTTGGAAGTCCGCCTGAGATGATATTTGTGGCTGATATTTGATATATTTAAGTTCACCCCTTCTCTTCAATCCCCTGCATACCTTCGGGTATCCAGTCTAAAGGCAAACAATCTCGACACCTCCATTAATGGTACTACGGTGTTGGCTCTACTCTTAGCACATATTGTTCTTAACCTAAACAGATGTGTCCCTATCATGGACAGATGTATCCTTATACTTAACAGGTGTATCCTTACCATTGTCAGGTGTTTATTTATCATGGACATGTGTATCCCTACCAGGAACAGGTGTATCTCTACCATAGACAGATGTATCATTACCATGGACAGGTGTAACCTCACAATGTATGGGTGTATCCTACCCACAGACAAGTGTATCCCTACCATGGAAAGATGTAACCTCACAATATATAGGTATCTGTTACCCGTAGACAGATGTATCCCTATCAGAGGCATATGTATCCTTACCATAGACAGGTGTAACCTTACAGTGTACAGGTGTATCCTACCCACAGACAAGTGTATCCCTATCATAGACAGGTGTATCCCTACCATGGACAGGTGTTTCCCTACCATGGACAGGTGTATCCCAGTCATAGGCAGATGTATTCTTACCATAGACAGGTGTTACCTTACAGTGTACATGTGTATCTTACCCACAGACAAGTGTAACCCTATCATAGACAGATGTTACCTTACAGTGTACATGTGTATCCTGCCCATAGACAGTGTATCCCTACCATGGACAGGTGTATCCCAGTCATAGGCAGATGTATTCTTACCATAGACAGGTGTTACCTTACAGTGTACATGTGTATCTTACCCACAGACAAGTGTATCCCTATCATAGACAGATGTTACCTTACAGTGTACATGTGTATCCTGCCCATAGACGGTGTATCCCTACCATGGACAGGTGTATCCCAGTCATAGGCAGATGTATTCTTACCATAGACAGGTGTTACCTTACAGTGTACATGTGTATCTTACCCACAGACAAGTGTATCCCTATCATGGACAGGTGTATCCCTACCATGGACAGATTTATCCTTACCATGGACAGGTGTATCCCTACCATGGACAGGTGTATTCTTACCATGGACAGGTGTATCCCTACCATGGACAGGTGTATTCTTACCATGGACAGGTGTATCCTTACCATGGACAGGTGTATCCTTACCATGGACAGGTGTATCCTTACCATGGACAGGTGTATCCTTACCATGGACAGGTGTATCCTTACCATGTACAAAAATGGACAATGATATATGTGTTTGACAGATTCTTTAATGCCTTATATTATGTCTTTTAAAAAACTCTGTTATTCATTAGATTTTCTCCTCTTACAGAAATGCTACAGTGGAAAAGCCACTTTTTATGTGTGTGCAGCTGCAGAGGGAGCACGACTGATCAGTGTATGATTATCACAGCAGAGCCATTGCAAAATGCAATATACCAGGTATTTAAGGGTGGTTAAATAATGTGATATTATACTTACAGTATGAGGTATACTAGAAAATGTTGTGGGTATTATATTTAGAGGGTGTGGACTGTATTAAGTGAAGCATTTACCTTAGAATATATTTCATAGATCTGTTTAAAAAATGAAATTTACTATGTAGAAGAATTGTCATGGTGTGCCTTCAACATATCAAGTGAAACTCTTGTATTGATACAGGGATCAACACTCTCTTTGTTTACAATAAAATCTCACATGTGTGAAGACTTTTCACCTGTATAAAGCAGAACATCACTAGTCTTGAATCTGGACATTTCACCTGTTTTTAATGGAACCTCTGTTTTCTTGAATCTCACTTGTCTTGATGTTTACTTGTTTACAATTGAACTTTTTTTTAATTGTTGAATCTCATTAATCAAGACAACTTTCTTCTTTAGTGTGGAACTTCTCTAGTCTTCAAATTCTTCCCTAAGTGCATGAGAATCTCATTAGTCAAGATACTTACCTTGTATATAGTGTAACTTCTCTTGGTTGGAACTTTTTCCCTATTTACTGTAGAATCTCACAAAGCTATTTTTAGCTCACTTGGACCAAACAATCAAGTGGGATTATGCTAGCCATCAGACCTTCATCCATCTGGTGTCAACTTTTCCCTTTTAATACCAGGTTAGCTATGCAGTTCCATTGAGCCTCTTGTTATCTGTTTACAGTTTGTTTATAATATAATTAATTTTCTGTCATTTTAGAGATTTTGAGGTTGTAATGATATATCTATTTGTGTATTATAGAACAAAGACTCTAAATGGCAGCTTTCTTGTTCAGGTTCTTAAGAATACAACGAACATTAAAGGATTAAACTATTGGCTAGTCAACATTGATGTAGCTAATCATAGTTCATATCAAAAAGATATTTGGTCCACATAAAAATCACCAACTTTATACTATATTCATGATTTGTATGCAGCATGTTATGTAAGATGTTTTCCTAGCTTTATCTACCATTAATCTTTTAACTGTTAAACAAAGCTTTGGCAAAGTTTAGTACAATTTGAACATACAATCTCAAATTCCATTTTACAAAAGGATAATCCTCAAATGATTTATACACACAAAAATATTTCTTCATAATTGTACAGATGTTCATGAGTAAACAATTCAAAATATGAGTAACATGTTAATTTATATTAGGTTAAATCAAGTTTTCAGGATTGTCAGGTTGTAAAAGGAGAATCAAGTTCTCTTGTATTTTTAATTAACAGGGATGGATCCAAATAAGGAGATGGAAGTTGAATATGGCTTGCTAAGTCTTACTGAAAAAAAATAAACATAACAAATATATACTAAAAGATACAATAAATTTACCAATAAGTCAAATCTGTCTATGTAGACCACTCAGTGGAACAGGAAAGTGGCCTTTATAGCCAGGTGGCATTTATATAGAGGTTCCTTTTTAGGATGACAATGAGTTGTATTACTTGGGAACCAAATCAATTGGTCATAATAGACAGCCCCCTCACTACATTTTGTCAATATTTTTCTACTGAGGAGGGGGCTTATTTGCAGTAAAATACTGCAGTAGACATGGTGCAATATTAAAGTTCAAACAAATTCTTACATCTGTAATTTTCTATTGTTATTTTTAGTGTTACCAGGTTGAAATGATTGTACCTTTTTTCAAGTGACTTGAATAGAAATATTCATTGTCAAGTTTAATTTGTGTTACATTGTATCCTGAAAACAAATGCACATCTGTTTTGTTGTGTATTGTATACTTGCAGTACATGAAGTGAGCTTCGCCTTTACTTCCTGTCATTTACAAACTTAACAATTGACATAAGCTTTGTGTAATTTATTGCTACAATGTTGATATAGGAGAAAAACTCATCAGGGAAACAAATAACCCAACAGACATTATACCTCACTGACAGTGAGTCTCAAACTGGTATTCTAATATGTACATGTATAGGAAAGTGGTGTGAATTCAGGCTTGATTGCACGCAGCATGACAGTGTATAAGTGATCACGACTACTTAGGCTCCATAAGACACTGTACACAAGAAAGAATTTAAAAGCGGGATTGGGTTTGAAGAAATGTTTTAGTTTTTATTGTATGTATTTTGACAACTTTTGGAAAAATTTTGATTGATTTAGAAGATCTTTCACCAAAATCATGAGACTCTAAGGCATATATTTCTATTTATGCTCTAATTGATAATTTCATTATCTGTTACCTTTACCTATATTTCAAAACAAAATAAAACAAAATGATGGGAAAATTTAAAACTGCAAATTAGCATAAAAAAATGTCGAAACTATGTAAATGTACTTTACACGAAGCTACATAATTTTTTCCATCTTGACTAAAGTGATGTAATGTAAAAATTTCATGGCTCTGAGGTCATTACAGGGTAAGTGCTATAGTGTAGAATATTAAGTAATATAAAGGTAACAGAATTTTACAATTGCCTTGTTAAGATCTGGGAGAGTAATATGTTTCTGAAAAACATAAGTATAGCTAATTTTGTAAGAGTTATGATACTCTTTGTTCTGTTTTAAGATAAATTTGTAATTTTGGACAAGAATATTTCATCACTGTTATTAAATGTAAGATTTACTTGTATTTTGAACATTTTCAGAATCTTAAACTGGTTGGCTTTAATATAGATTATATATATTTCTATGACGTATTTATTTTTAAACATAAAGATGTTGTTTTGATGTCAGAATAGTTCCTCTTTGTATTTTTAATGAAATCAAATTTTGGATGTTTAATCACTTTTTAGTTTTATTCAAACCATTTCTGTTATTTAATGGTTGTTCCAATGTTTTGTAAATGCAATATTATATCTTACATTGAATTGTGGTTTGAAATAAAGACTTATGAGGTTGTACAAACACAGGAGCTTGTTAAATAATGAGCATACCTCCTTTCAGAGGTCTGACATTACAAGCCCCTGTGTCTGCTTTACTGGAGTTAAAAATAACATACTAAGTACTAAGTTGTTAAGAGGTACAATGATGTATTTCTGTATTTTCCGGATTTCCATTGCATTAGAGACGGTACTTAGTTTTTTTTTTTTTTTTTGGTACTTTGTTTTTTTACCAGTACCTGCCCGTCACATGTTTATGACTGAAACAGGTCATCTAGAACCATCATTAGCAATCAAATGCAGGATGATTTGAAGATTGAAATAAAAATAACATTCTTGTGGATTTAATTAATCATACCATTTTATATGAATCACAATAATATCTCCTGGACTTTCGTGGTTACTTTGAAGCCTTAGCCTTTTGTATCCTAGGATCGATAGGTCATCGGAGTATATGTCAAATTCTAGAACAACCGCCATGCTTGTTTACGATATGAATGGCTTTGTGTAACTTACAAGACGAAATGATATGGGACTATAAGAATTTGGTCAGGATGCAAGGGCCTTCATTAATATTTATCAGTACAGACACTGATGGATAGATTGTTAAGTAAACCATAGGTAATATTAAGCCCTATATCTATGCCTAGACAATCTGTGAATGCACAAGCCGAACAAGCTGGATATTTGCTACTTTCTAATTTTCGAACTACAATAAAAATAAAGGACTATCTGTGTATAATTCATTTGCAAACTTAATTGTTTCGCTGACAATCATTACAAATTGCCCTCCGTTGTCTGTTATATCAACAAACTTTGGTCAATGTGACAGTTACCACTTCATAAGGTATATCAAACGTCAACATAGTTGTCACCTTATCGTAAGAAAGGATGCAGCTTAAAACCAGGAAAATGCATTACATGTAACTTTGTTCATGGACAAAGTGTACATGTTAAACGGTTAAAAATGTATCGGTAGTTTTGTTACCTGGTTCAAGGTGTATGAATGTGCATATTACCTGGTTACATGTGTATTTCTAAAAATAGTGTCATGTTGTCGTCATGGGTAGCATGAAAGCTGTAATATTTCCCAACATTTTGAACACTGATTCATTGTATGATTTTTTCCCAGAAAACAGAATAAAAAGAAAATTTTTCTTGATTTCCCATTTGGTTTATCTGTTGCGCCCACTTGGAAATGGGCACCACCTCCCTAATGAGGTGTGGACCAATCAGAGAGAACCATGAGATTTATCACCAGAAAAAGATGAAAGAAAAACAAAGGCATCATTGGATAAGTTTATGAAACAGGATATATATTGTCCAATACCTTCAATACATGTTTCCTGGATAGAGGTGTAGTAATGTATATGTAACCTGGTTTGATGTATAATAATGTACATTACTCTGTTTGTGATGTAATATTGTACAGTGTTAACTGATAAGGTGTGATAATGTACATGTTACCTGGTTAGAAGTAAAATTTTCTTGTCAAGAGAAGATAAATTACATTTTTTAACAATTATATAGCATTGATAATAAGTCATGAAAGAAGAATGTTTTTTACAAATTGTTGTTTAAATATTATATGTTGGGAGGAAACATACATTTTATTGGATGAGTAGACCAGCATCTTTTGTAGAATAAGACTTTAAAAGATTTATTAAGAATCGTATTCCAATTGTATACAATAAATGCCTGTATCACTGACTGCCTGACTCTGTTTTGTTATTACAGAAAGATATTTACATGTAGCTAGTTTATGACAAAAGTTGAAATACACAAGTTATTAATCCAGCCATCACTGTGTTCCTAACAGACCTGTGTCCCACACTGATTTCACTTTGTCCCATATAAAACACTCACTTTTTCTGAGACTACTCATATTTTCCCAGACACTCCCTGTGTCTCTGACAGGCCACTCAAGCTCTGTCCCAGACACTCCCTGCGTCTCTGACAGGCCACTCAAGCTCGGTCCCAGACACTCCCTGTGTCTCTGACAGGCCACTCAAGCTGTCCCAGACAGACCTATCACTGTGTGCCAGACACACCACTTGCTCTGTCCCAGAGAGACAATTCACTGTCCCAGACAGATCCCTCTCTGTATTCCAGACATAAATCTCACTGTGCCCTAGACAGACCACATGCTGTGATCTTGACAGTCCACTCATTGTGTTCCAGACAGACCAATCAGAGTGCAAAACAAATCACTGTGGCCCAAAAAGAACTGTCAAAGACTGATAATTCACAGAACTGTCCCAGACAGACCTCTCAAGTGTCCCAGACAATATGCTCTTGTTTTCTCAGACATATGTCTCATATTGTTCCAGATGGAGTAATGGGTGTCCCAACAAATTACCGTCCCGTTAATTCCCTATTAGACAGACTTATTTTGATACAGATAGTACTTTTTTTTACTACTATAACAATCATGTGATATCAAGATGCAACTAATTCATGAAATAACAAGTTATCACACATGTCTTATGATATCTATGACATGACACAAAAGGCCAGTTATGTGATAGAAGGGGATTTCTTCCATACATGTTCCAAGTTCCATGTTGACTAATCAAAACGTTACTTTTAAAACAATGTCATTTTATATATACCAAACAAAAAATTCATATGATGGTAGTACTGATATCCTTAACTTTTATTTTCCAAACTCCCCTTCGAGATCTCACTCATTCAGAAATTTGAGAGGCTTGAATTGTGTTTGACATGAACTTCTATTATTTAAGATTTGTTTGTTTTATCACATTTTTTTTTCTCATCTTTTATACTTTGGCATTATTTTGTTTTGAGAACCAATCTCTCAGTGTTGGCCCAATCTTTTTGAACCTGGGCGGCTTTGTTATGATGGTCTAAAGTATTGAACAATTACTGCTTTATTTTCTATTTTCATGCAGTCCAATATGATTGTTGAAGTTTTCATGTATATTTATGTTGAATTTAAAGAAGCAATAATCATGCTAAAAATAATGATGACAACACAAGATCAGATTAAGAATAGATTTTAATATATTTACGCAAAGTAATCAATGATCAAATACGTACAATAATATATGTATATACCTATATGAATACCAAACAATGACATTTGGTAAACATTCCCATTTATCTCCAATATCTGAAGAACAGATTCTACTTGGCTATGTACTTTGCCACTATAAACAAACTGATACAGTCAACATCTTTTCTATAAACAAAATTATATAAGTGTTGTATATAAATTACATTAATTTACTACTATCGTGTCTCCCAAATGTCCCTGTGAATTCTACCTAAATAACTCTGCCACAGCTATGATACAATATCGAAATAAAACATGCGAGATGCTATGGTAGAAAGATTACTTTTATCTTTGTAGTGTTTCATACCAGACAGATGTTGTAAGGGGAGGAAGAATGACTGATACCAATCTATATATAAATATATGCCATTTCATTCAGAATTAATTCTATCCAAAACTAATAAAAAAAAATTATTATACATTTACCATATATATATACAGGCTGACAGCAAGCAAAACCCTGGTATCCTAATATCCTTAACTATTATACCATGTTAGTCATTCACTAACACTGGACCTATTAGAAAAGCTTAAATTCATAATGTATTTTACCTACATCATTTTTCTTGTATCGTCTTTAAATTCCACTGATATGTATTCTTATTTTCCTTGATTTTTGTATGATAGAAATTATTCCTTTTCCAACTTTTATGAAAATCTAAAATTACGCAGGTATATCTTTATAACACATACAGATTGAAATATTGTACCAGTCCTTTATAGAGTTCGTAAAGAACATCTTAAAAACAATAAATACCACATCTTCCACACACTAAGAAATTTCCACTATTTTCTAAAGTGAGATAATTGAAATGCAGAGAAGATGCCTGCCAATAATAGAACAACTTAGCCATGGGCATTTACAGGAGCACAATATTAGCATAATCTATGTATACCTTAAATAATTTAAAGCATTTACATAAGCTCATTGTCAATATACAACTATAAATGCACTTGAAAAATGCAAGTGTCTGCAATTTAGTCATGAAGATTACATGTGTATAATAATCTATTAGACCATATTACAAATTACCTTAAATTATAAATTATGTATTATACATTTAACACGTTAAATATGTATAAGATGATGTAACACTGTCTTCAGGAATATAAAACCTGACAAAGTTTGACCATACAAAAATACAAAGGATCTGATGGTAGTTATTTGCTGCCTTGGGCGGAAAGGTTATCTGCCCTTAGTAATGATGCAAATGCAAGATGATAAATAACATTGATGTTATGAACTTTGACCTTAAAATGTATGATGATACTGGCCAAATGATAGCTTTAAATAGAAAGTTGGTCTGGACACACAATAGTATGTCAGCAATTTACTGACCGTCATTCTTTTATTCCATCTAGTACACAATATTGATCTTTCTTTCACTTTGCCATTACAAAAAAAACATAAATCTATGTTGTGAAAAGTTGCTAAACTGATGATGGAACACTAGGTATCACATTCAGGCAAAACACTGAGAGTTGAATCTTCTGATAAGAAAACTCATCTAGTAACTTAGTATTTTCAGATTGAAGTATACCCAAGATTGATTGACCATGTCTTTTAAAAAATTTTTTTTCTAACTGGGGAAAAAAAAAAGAGAAAATGTACACAGTTATTTTATCAATAATGTTCTATGCTAAGACTTATTAACTGCTTTTACTTATATACATGTACGATGTATCGAGGCTTAATTGTGATAAAAAATCAATTAATGCACTATATAGTATTTTCCTGTAGGACACTTACAGTGAAAATTTACACCTCACAATATCAACTTTGGAAACCAACTCGGTGACCTATAAAAGCTAGAAATAATAAAGAGCATTTAATACCAAATGCATTCAACAAATAATACTGCAGGATTCTGCCCGCTTTTGGTTCCCTTAAAAAGGCATTAACATACTGAAACTTTACAGTACATAACAAAATGTTAAACCAAAAAACAAAATAATTATCATATTTAAGTTTTTTAGTTCTAACAAAATAAGAAAACAATATTCATAAAAAAGTTGAAACATCACAGAATGGAAAGCCACAAGGCTCAGACGACAATACAAAATTAGCGTGATTCATATTATCCCTGAGTGAAACCAAAAACAACAAAGAAAAGCAGAACAAGACAAAACAGATTAAAGTTACTGAAAATAATTTAGTTTTCACAACATTTTCATATTCATTCACAAAATGGCTACATCTCACAAGTCAATATATCTCAATATTTTTCAGACTAAAAATCTTCACCAAACAAGAAAATTTGTGGTAACTAAATAATTCACAGTAATTCAAAAGCAAGACAAGAACTAAAAATTAGGAAATATTGTACAGAACCATTTTCTAATTTCTAAAATGAAATTAGTTTCAGTTATATTGTCAACAATAAAATAAAAGTTGGCCTTCGTGTGTTCTTTAGCACTTTGACAAAAATGTGCATTACTAATTTTGAAACAATAACAGTAGTTAAAAAGTTTCTAGTTTGCGTACTAGTAACTGTCTCCTCTTTTTGACAATCTAATGATACATACAAAGTCAAGATAAAATTTACTTTAAAAATCTAAAAAAACGAGTGGAAATTATTATTGTCAAATGAAACTTCTCAGGATTGTAAAACAGTCACAACTACAATGTTCATAGTTACCTTAATAAATAACATTTGTTTAGTCGTCACATATACAGAAATGTGTATCATAACTATCTATGGTCAAATGAAGACATGATTATTTTAAAACAATGAAAATAATTAATGTTCTGACCAATATTGAACTGATTCAGTTACAGTAGCATATTAACTCTGAACAAAATCTGTCAGATATAGGAGGTATACAAAGGATGAACTATATCTGTAATCAGTTATCCATATGTCTGACAATCTGAAACATTACAGTTTGATCGTTTGCTACTAAAGATTTCAAATTATGCTGCCCTTGAAATCTGTATAATCAGAAATTATAACAGTATCAAAAATTCCTAATAAAACATTTATTGATGACTGGAAAATGTCTTTGTTTTGTTTTGTTTTTAAATTACATGCAATTGAAACAGAAAATAAAAATTACAGCTTAACATCTTCAAAGAAGACTTTTGCACTATACATCCCATAAAATATTGTTGTCATAAATGTTTAAAAATTGCTGATGTTTGTAAAAATAATAAAACAAGAATATAAACTGAAAAGTTAACATTCTGATATACATACTGAACACAGTATGGAATACAATATCAATATTCACACTCTACAATAAAATGAAAATACAGAATTCGCTGATCTTAATTGTTACTGTATATAGAACATGTCAAATAATTGATGTATTCAGTGATAGCAGCACTAAAAATCTACCTTTTATCACTATCCAGAATGAAAACCCACCTTACCACAACATTAAGCACTTTTTTCCACAGGAATGTTCTGCAAGTTTTGATAGAGATTTTTTGCTTGCATTAGAGACAGACACAAAAAAATTTGGTCAAAGTGGGAAGAAAAATTACATATGCAAAGAAATTCTTCATTTTCTGGTTTCTGACTGTGAACATTGAAGTACTTTCATTTTACTGGTGAGTTAATGATAAAGTTTATATACAAAAAGATTTTATGCATACAATGAATATACACACATAGAGACACAGTCGTGTTATCCCCATTCTTCTGTCAACCTTTAACCCCTATTCAACCTCCACCCACCCTTAATATCATACCCCTAACATTTGTACAGTATAGTGCTAGTTACACAAACAACAATTAATCAAAACTTTTTTCTGAACCCTGATTTTGTCCAATAATTCAATAATTATCGTATCATTGTCCATACACACCAACCCATTACTTTTCCTTGTATGTTCAGATATGTGGTACATGATACAATTAGTAATACTTCATTACATCTACACATCTCACAATCTACAATTATACTATCTGAACATCATGGCTTGTCATCTTTGAATGCTAATAAGGCTAGAATTTAAATGTAAATGGCTCATGCAGATGTTTCAGATGAAACATCTACACTTACAATATTTATAACAAAGTGAATATATTTATTTCCAAAGATTATATGCACTTTTGCCAATTCCATAATCTAGTGGGTAAAAAAACTAATATTCACTTGCAAAAATATCATTCAAATAAAGATTCACAGACTGATTTTTTTTAAAAATTTGAATATTAAATTTGGTTTAAAACTTATATGGTTAAAATATTCTTTAAAAGAGTTCTGATCTCCACTGTTAGAGCAGTGTCGATAACTGAACACAAGCAGAGTGTAAATAACAATTACACCTATGATAAAGTTATTTTCCTACTGTGTATGGCTACATACTCTCTCGAACCCCTCACACAAAAACAACAAACATAGTATACATGTCTCAAAATCTTCACAACAAAATACATACTAAATCTTGATTAAATATCTAGATGGCTATCATGTTATACCCAGCGTTGGTATGGTCCAGTGACCATGGGCTGGGGGTCGATCCACCGCGTTATCACCGAGTCAGTGGTGTGTGAGTCTGACAATCCAATGGGTACCTCCCACATGTATTTGTACTGAGCTGCAGATGTTTCCATAATATCCACTTTCTCACTCTTCTTCACCTTTTTCTTCTTTCCGTTTACAGTGGTTGCTCCATTCTTGATAGGAAGATCTGGGATCTCTGAAGATATACCAGTAGCTTCCTCTTTTAATTTTTCAAGTCTCTTCTGTCGCATGGTTTCCATCTTCCGCTCATACTCGTAAAAACCATGATGAGGAAAGTTGAGATTTTTGTGTTGGTAGAAGACTAGACTTATTCTGGTAGGCGCAGCACGATCTGGATTACGAAGTCCTGTCGTGGCATGAAGTTCACGCTTTGCCACCTCAAACAAAACAGCACCATGTGACAGGGCAATAGCTACACCACCTACTGACGGATCAGTAAAGGCATTTTCATTGTACTCCATTTCACATTTAACCACAGTGGGGTCCAATACAGCACTATCAGGGTTTTCCTGGTTTGGAAATTGCATGCCAAATCCACCCAACACATTTGATGACCCAGCCATATTAGGCACTCCAGCCATATTGGTAGGAGGCACATTCAGCCCAGCTCCAGCCATGTTGGAATGTTGTTGGTTAGCATAAGGCATTGACTGGAGACTATGGCTGTGAGGTGTTGTAGAGTTATCCCCCTTAGATTGATTATTGTGAGGTAGATTTGATGGAAAGCTGCCTGTCGAGTTTGGACGTTGTATGGATGGATGTTTATGAGGATCTTCTTCAAACTGTTTTGTTCTGGTTGAAACAGCTTCTGACAACAGATCAAGAGGGGATGCGTTTTGCTTGGCCAATGGCACAGACGGACATGACCTTTGACCTGTATTATCATTGCGATGTTCTTCCTGCTTTAAACCACCAAATGAGGATGCCAGTTCTTGTTGAGAACCAGATTTTGAGAGATCAAGTTCAGCTTGCTGCCCTGGTCGAGGTTGGAGGTCACACTGACCTTGAGCAATATTAGTTGGAGCATTACTGGATGAAGAGTTGGTAACTGGTGGAAGTTTGTCTTTGTTGACATTCCAAGAGTTGAGGAAACTTGGAGGAGGGAATGTACCATAGGAGTAAAAATAACTCCAAAAAGATTCATACAGATTGGCAAAGCCTGGCTCAGATGACAGGGACATCATATCCTCATAAGATATAAAGCTTTTGCCAGCCAAAAGATCCCTGGGGTTAGGCCCTAATGCTTTAACACCATCTTTCTCCCCTGAAAATGATTCCGGCTTTGATGCTGCATCATTCCCTGAAGACCTGGAATTCTGTGAGTTAAAGTACATATCTGACAGTGATTGCTTGGATTCCTGAGAGTTACCTGATGATGGATCTTTATTAAAACCTTGAGAGGTTGAATTTGGCCCAAAGGCTGGTTTTGGCCCTCTTTTTCTTCCAGGCCCTGGGCTGTTTTTGTCTTTCTTTCCCTTCTTTTTACGACTTGGAGTGAGTGGAGTTGAGCGAACTCTCATCTCCATAGGGTAAACTTGTAAACACTCAAGAGAGCCATTCTTGATCTTTTCCACCTGTGCATCACGACTTCCATTCTCATCCTCCAGGTCCATGACATACAGTGGAAGCACATGGAGTTGTTCATCATCAGGTTTTTCCAGGCCACGATGTTTTGTCAGTGTCAAAACCTACAAAAACACCAATGTCAACACATTCAACTTCTCTGTCATTTTGCTGAACTTAAATGTAAACACCTGATCAATTCAGAACCAATGTGAATATAATGCAATCAATAATTAATTCATTTCATCAAATTTTTTATTCAAAAATTTCATATAGATGGAGACAATTCATAATTGTTTACAGTGTGACTATTGTTTCATTGCAAATTTTGGTATCACAAATTCAATCTGGGTATCAGCTAAATCCTTTAGTCTTTGTTGATCGGAATATTAAATCATGATGTTTTGTAAATTAATGACACATCTCAGTCTATCTCAACACTTGTTCCACGTTTCCACTAAAGTATCATAAGATCTAGAACTCACCACTGTGCTGCCATTATTCATGTTGTGAAGATCTTTATGGGCATGGGCACAAAAGTCAACACACGCAGTCACCCCTGAAAATGGTCGACCTTTCTCGTTACCAAGACGACAATCTGACCCATTGCTCTCAAACTGAATCTGTCAAAAGCAATTATAAATCAAGTTATTGGACACTCACAAATATAAAATATATATACCAATATCTTGTTAATGTAAATCCGAGTCATTAAATTGAGAAACCTTTGTCCCAGCACAGTACAGGTAAAATATAATGACCCAAGGCCACTTTAGTAATCACATCAACGTTTTACGAAAGAAAATTTGTCTTTTAGGTCCAAGGAATTGAAAAAATGTAAAATGATTTCTTTGGTGGGTTTATTACAGTGTCACAGATATGGTTTGCTTGCTGGGTTTTTTGCAGTGCCAACAGCCAGTTATTTTCAGCTTGTGTCCTCATGTAGAAGATGGTGGCTACCTCACTGAACAAAATACAGGAGGCCTTTATCATGCCATCTTGAGAAATGGGACAAAGTGTCTAGTCCAAGAACACACCCATGACAGCACAAACCATTCTGTTCCTCAGTTTACTGGGAAACAAAAACTGCCACAAGTAAGGAGGGTCTGTTTGTGGAAATGATGTATAGTTACCTGGTTATGGTAGGCACTGGGTGCCACTTGTTGATAAACTGGTGCTACGATAGTTGCCAGCTTCTGCAGTTTATCCTCCAGTTCAGTCTCCTAAAACACAATATCAAACAATTCAAGACATTATATACAAAGTATTTTTATTAATATGAATAACATTAATGCAACTTTTGAAATTCTGAAAATACTGCTAATAAGTGTGATTTACATGAATGAATATCTATAAAAAAATTAATATGAAAATTCATCATACCTGTGATGTGTCTTTAAGTTTGAATTTTCTTGCTTCTCGACTTCTTGCAAATTTACACCCATTAAAGTACATACTCCAGGAACATCCAAATGAGAATGAGGCTCCTCTTCGCCTGAGGTTTATTCCCTGACATGCACACGTTTTTCTGTACGGGTAAATGATAGAATTAAAAAACGGAACTATTTATTTGTCAACAAAGTAATTACCACATCACAGACAAATATTTTTTACTTTAACACTATAACTTTTCTTCTTATCTACTATTCTGAACGTGATTTTTATTGCATGAAACACCTGTTCTACCAGGTGAAAGATACATTGTAAGTAAAGGATGACAGCTATGTAATGGTCAGTTATAATACAGATCACCATGTGCTGTCTGTATACTAGTATAGAGTTTACTTGTCTTACAGGGCGATCACAGAGGGTTTTCTTCTATTACATCATTTGTGAAGTAAAATTATTGATTCATATTAATCACTCTTGCTGGCTTGGATGTACTCAAGTCAGGTTCTTTATGCTGAAGAAAATCTGTGTACTAAGAAGAAAACACATAATGTCAACTGACCCCAGTTGACCCCATACCTTTTCACATGAAAGGCATCACTGCTGTATCATCTGACCAACCTGTGTTTTTTACTTTTTATTTTTACCTTCTTTTCTTTTAAATACAGTTAATGATGATTGCATCTTACACTTGTGTAAATACCAAAATGATTTATAAAACAAGTTTAAAAAGCATGAAATGAGCCTTAGGCAGACCTACCAAATTACTCTAATATGTTATGCAAATTTCAGTTAAATGATTAACTGTTAAAAACATGGAAATCCCATGTAGACTGATGCAACGGAAATTTTAAGTTACCTGTCATTTGTACCACATCGCCGCTCTGTTTCAAAACCATATTTGGTAAGAGAGGAGGTGAGGTAGCTATATGTGTTGTCAGCCATCTCAGAGGGTATACCTTCCCAGGCCACAATCACAATAACGATGCAGGCAGAATCACAGAAATGGCCCATCCTGTGTCGCACCACACATAAGTATTTCTCCTCCTTGCTGCTACGCCGGATAATCTAAGGGATAGAATATATCATAACTCTGACAAGTGATTCCAATAACAAACACTTACCCAATGCCAAGTTTTTTCTTCATTTTTGTGTGTTTTTTTTATTTGGTACCAATTATTTTCTTATTAGGGAAAAGGACTATTTTTTAATACTAAAATATATACAATGTATGGGGGGATTCTTAGCAACCTTTCGAGTTTAATGTGTTTGAAGGTGAGTTGAGTACCTACCCATTTAGCTATTGGACAACCTTGTGTACTTTTGCCTTCACGACCTGTGTAACGGATCTTTTCTATCCTTATGGCTTTACCACTTACTCCAGTTCTGAAAAACAATGGCTTTTAGCTAGATATGTTCCTTTTTACTTCATTATCCAAGTATTCAGACTGACAGATATTATACCACAAGCTCAAATTTAAACCACAGAGTAGTACTGTTCTTATACTTTCTCAATGCTATATAGTGCTACTATTTTTCTCACAGTTGAACATAGTTCTTAAAGTCACCAACCTTTTCTCCATCATTTCTCTGATAGCTTGTATACTGCGACCAGCTCCAAGCTGTGTGTAGTAAGGCCCTTCTTCTTCCTCATTTGGTACATCTGGTGAAAAAAACCCAAATTATATCCAGGGCAATTTGTCATCTTCAGAAAAATGTGTTGTCATTATAATATTTTGTTATCATTAGAAGCAAATGTTCTTTCACACAGTAATATATATGTATCTATGAATGACTATTATTTTTATCATTATTATTATTACAGTCTTAACCCCCCCCCCCCGTCAACCCTTACAGGTCATAAGGGTCATCAACCAGTGAAAGGCACAGCAATCCAATAAAATAACATCAAATAAACTAAAAAGGTAAAAGTCCAATGCTGAAAATCTTAAATGGTGACATTATCACAAAAGATTAAAATATTAAGTCAGAGTCTAAATATAGACCAACATCTTTCAGATAACCTTGAATTTTATCAATCTCAACAGTTTCAAAAAGGGCCTTTAGACTTGTAATGTTACAATGAAAACATTCTCGAGTAGACAGAAGGTCAATGCAGTCCAATAAAAAATGTTTAAAGGTGAATGGCTTATCACATCCTATGCAACACGGATTATCGTCACCTTTAAACGTCTATCTATGAATGAAATTAAGTCTACATTAAAAGCAAACAGCAGGTATTTTTCACAGAAGTCAGGCAACACACTATGACTTTCTCTATTTATTTAATAGTTTTCCACCTATTTCTTTTGGGTATTTTTTCCATCCTCAAAGAAAGCAAAAAAAATTGAAATCATCAAAATTAACTTTCACAGGAGTCATCCATATCATAATATGATAGTAAACAAAGGAAAAGCAAGAGAGCTTGATTGTACAACAAATCCAGAATTATTGAGGGTGAATTCATATCACCGTCCTTAGGAAAATAAGGACACGATAACAGATAATAGCATGCAGTCTGGCCTTTGTTGCATAGGGACTGTACACTACTACAGTACACGAGTACATGTATGCACTTACAATCAGGTCCTTTACAGCCACACTTAGGGATCGCAATCTTGATGTTTTTTCTCAGACGCTCCATCAAGTCATCCTCCTCATTGGTTCCAAGCACAGTATCCTTTACTTTCTGTACCTGATCGGCTGCCCAGGCCAGGTGATCCACCTTCATACCATCTGAAGGAGGTGCACCATCATCTTCACAGTTCGACCGAACATCAGACACACCATTCATATGACTTCTGTTCAAGCAATTCTCCTTTTCTGCTTCCCTTGCTAGAATATCCAACCCACCAAATTCCAACTTACTGTCTTTGTACTCTAAGTCTTCCTTCTTACATACAATTTGTTCTATATTTTCAGAGACACCCATCGTACGAGAAAGCAACTTTTGATCAGTTGGGGAAAGCTTTTGGTCTGAAAACTGACACTTTCCATCCCCAGATACAGCATTTCTTTCATCATGTATAACACTTTGTTGGCCTAGATGGGAGAATTTTTGGTCTTGAAACTGAAATGTTTGTTCTGGTTTTTTCCAATTTACAACAGAAGGCAATGGAGTCTTTAATTTTGTACTATCCTCAGAAACTGAAGATGTACTACAGATACTACTACTGGTGGCAGTAGAAATTGGTGACAGACGAAACATTGGTCCAGCTCGACTCTCCACTCCACTACTACCTTCATGGCCATCTAGGGATGATGACAGCTCTGGAGACAGAGTTCGTAACTTATTGCTACACAAAGGAGAATATCTCATTCCCAGTTTGTCACAGTTGTTACAACAAGGAGTACTTCTACCATCATCTGGTTTCTTCAGGTTTTCATCACTTTTCATTGACTCTATAAATTTCAGAGGATCGTAATTTCCACCTATGAAACTGTTATGAGAATGACTTTTAGAATGTCCAGGATAGTTCAGCAGTTGACTGTCACTGACTCCGCACTGATGACGTTGTATTGTGTCAAAATCTTTTTGTGACGTTTTTTGATTCACATGGTCATCAATCTCTGGACTGAGTCCTTCAGTATTCCGAGACTGTTCACCAACACCCAGTTCTGCCCCGAGACAGTGTTCAATGGACGGTAACTGTGGAGGCGCTAACTTTTCCTTGTTTATTTCTTTTGGCTTCTTTTTCTTTGGGACCAATCCAACATTCTCACCATCCATTACTTTCACTTTCCTTTTCTTAGTTTTTTTCTGTTTGCTAGGATCATTTTCAGTCTTAAACATTCCATTTTTCACTTCATGATTCAGAAAATCATTATTGAAATTTTTCATTAGAAAAGGATCCATATAAGGAGGTGCAGGATAGAACTGGTTAGGATATCCCATGCTATGATTGGGCCCGTTATTCAGGCTGTCATTCATTTGTGACTTCTTATGAAGGCCGTCTACTAATTCATTTGTTGAATGTTGCTTAGTACTAAATGAAAATTCTGAGGAGTTTTTGAAAGACATCTGTCCAGGAAAAGGCTGATTTTTATTTTCTAAACCATTTGGGATGATTGCCTTCTTTGGGTTCATACTTGCTGACCTTGACACCATGTCAGTCTTATCTGAAAACATATTTCCAGGGAAACCAGTTCCTGAAGGAAGATGGCCATTGAGTTGTGGATGGCCATGAAAATTCATGAAACTTTGAGCACTATTTGGTGGTATTTTGTTTCTTTCGAATGGGTATGATGGATATTCCTGAAAATGTGAAGCTGCCACTTTGGGTTTACTTGGGTCACTGCCATTTGGTCTTTGACTTTTGTTAAAAGCAAACTCCCCAGCCCCTTCACTTTTACATGTAGTCTGGTAGTTATGCCCGGGATATGTTGCTTTCTGAAATACACAAAACATATAAAGGTGTCATTTTGTAACTTTCTCAAATTCTGTTCAGAATTAGTAAGAAAAAATTAAATGATTAAGCTACACATTATAAAACACGGACATGACATATCTGTTTCCTGTTTCCTTAATGTGTCTAGATGCTACTTACACATGGAACAGGAAGTTATATTTTAATGGCTTGTGTTGTAGATCCTTACTTAGGCTAATGTTAATAATCCTTCATTGCAACACAAAAGGTCTGACTCATCAAATGTATATATAAATTTTCTGTCATGCATGAATGATGAAGTATACTTATTTATTCAACCTGTTATGCTCTGTGAATGGTAAACAGAAGACCCAGACAGTGTAATTGAAATGCGTATCACATGGTTTTATCTTGAGTATGTCCCATTTTGGAGCGATACATTTACTAAGTACCATTAAAAATAACCTCAAACATTAACTACCATTATGCTATTATACTAAAGTGCTATTTTGATTAAATTTATCACAATCGTACAAGGCCCTATAGAACTTTGTTAGACATTAAGGGTAGCATATGGTAAAATTTGACAGGAAGTTTTCGCTAACCAAGATGAGAAAACTTAAGAAATTTTACATCTGATTAAATCTCAATCTTCAATATTCTAAATATGGATTCAACAATTTAAAAGTACAAAGTAATATAAAGGTTCCTTGTCTTGTCCAATACTGGGAGTTTTATCAAATTAGGTGAAATCCAATAGTGACTATGTAAGGTAACACCTGTGATGATCTCCCAGTAAATATACACACAATGTGATATACCAGCTGATATATACAATCTCTTATCATTTCGTAAAGTTGGGAGCATGTTCTAATGATATTAATCAAACCATATACTTTCTGCAAGTATTATTATAAACGACTTCGGGTAAAGCAACAAAGATTCTAAAAATGTACTTAATCGATAGATGCAGTAGTATCATACACTGTCAAATCAATGATAATTTCAAGTTCTTTTATCATCTATCAGGGCCTTCATCATCAGATCCTCCGCCAACAAAGACAACAAAATGTTACACATAATCACCATGAATAAGATATCTTTTACTGTACCAAGTATGTTCAACAATATCCTATCTTAACACTTAACACACCACTGTTTTCACAAGGCCAACTAAATATAAAGTGAACATTTAAAAACAAAAGGACTTGTGTACCTAACATTTAAGTACATGTATGTAAGAGATAAAGTTTCACATTTTGTTTCCTGTTTTTCGTTCTCACAACAGCTTTGGTCTTACGTTCTCAGAAGCAAATTTAATCCTTTGAGCCATAATCCTTTATAGAGAAATGTATAGTAAGTATATGTATAAATCTAATTTTGCTGAGAACCTGTTTTCCCTTGTGCCTGCCAGCACTGGCTGTCCTCACTCACCTCGTACACAAGCAATAACTCCCTAATCGGCACTTTATTATCTGTGAAATTTATTGCATCTATCATATCCTCCAACTCAGTAACCACTAATGGGACAAAGTTGCAAGCCAAAAAAAAAGTTTGTAAATGTCAACTAAAAAAAGCAATTTGTTTACATATGGGCTGAACAGCAGCAGCACCAGGATCCTTAATCATCAAATTAGTCACTTTTGTATATACCCAACCACAAAATCTTAACCGCAATCTGAAGAAAACATTTTTTACTTATATTTTACTCTTTCATCATTACCTAGATGTAATTTGTCAATAAATTCTTGACAAATGAAAAAGCAAAACATCATATTGATTTTGCTCAAAGGAATGTTTAAATTGTTGCCACCACAACGGTTGATGTAACATCAAAGATCTTTTATGGCCGATCATAAAAACTTTAACATTACATTTTTGAAACACCAAGGCAATTTCAAGTTTAATTATAGCTTATAAAAACTTAACGGTAATATATTCAAAAAACTTTAATATATTAAGTTACATTTCATTACCAAAGTGACACCAATATATCCGTATTTTGAATTACAAATTCTTGAATGAATATGTTTGGCTTACTTATACCACAGTAAATAAAATAAATACATATACCTTACCTGATACGGATGAAACAGTGAAGACATTTTTTCTCAGTCACAATGATTATCACTATCTATACAGAACACTGACAATAATCCCGGAAATGAGTACAGTCATAATATAATAATTTCCACCAAGATAGCATTTGTTTGCAAGAAGTCATTGAAAACTATCTAAATCTGCGCTTACTGTAGGGCAGTACTATAATATTGACATAAGTAGTCCTCTAGTAAAAAAGATCAACTAATGAACTAGCCGTGTCTGTACATCTTACAGTACTGACCAGTAAGGTTTCTGTATCACTTTATATAAACCCAACTTAAAGGTGACTTTACCCCCTGGAGTCAAGGATGACATCTGCCTCAATAAAGTCACACAACTACAGGTAAGTAGGTCTGGATAGATGCCTCAGGTAGATAAGTGTTGTTTGGGTGATAATTGGACCCTCTAGTTACATGAACCACTGGACTGTAACGATGTATATGAAGTGTATACTTATGATATAGGTGTTATATTGATTATCACCTGTACATTACCATCATCACCTATCTTATACCTGTAGGCTACATTAAATAGTCAGCATCACTCAACTATGCCAATTATGACAGAATCAGTGTTATGTCATGTGCTGCCAATGAATGAATTAACTTAGTTTACTATTTCATATTTTTTTCTTCTTCTTTCTTTTCTACCTATTATGCATTTATTACCCAAACTAAACCTTGAGCACCTGTTTATTCCATTTCTCACCCCAATATATACAGTCTAAAGTATAACACCTGTTTATTACATTTCTCACTCCAATATATACAGTCTAAAGTATAACATCTGTTTATTCCATTTCTCACTCCAATATATACAGTCTAAAGTATAACACCTGTTTATTCCATTTCTCACTCCAATATATACAGTCTAAAGTATAACACCTGTTTATTCCATTTTTCACCCCAATATATACAGTCTAAAGTATAACACCTGTTTATTACATTTCTCACTCCAATATATACAGTCTAAAGTATAACACCTGTTTATTCCATTTCTCACTCCAATATATACAGTCTAAAGTATAACACCTGTTTATTCCATTTCTCACTCCAATATATACAGTCTAAAGTATAACACCTGTTTATTCCATTTCTCACCCCAATATATACAGTCTAAAGTATAACACCTGTTTATTCCATTTCTCACTCCAATATATACAGTCTAAAGTATAACACCTGTTTATTCCATTTCTCACTCCAATATATACAGTCTAAAGTATAACACCTGTTTATTCCATTTCTCACTCCAATATATACAGTCTAAAATATAACGCCTCTATTCAATTTCTTACTCCAACACGTCTGAATCATAACACTGTTTCCATTTTAAACTTAAACACATACATGTAGTCTAAAACATAACACTTGCATTTATAACACTGGTATATTCCATTTCACACTCCAACAGATACAGTTTTAAAATATATAACACCGATGTATTCCAATTCATATTCCAGTAAATATAATCTATGCTAATCATTTCTAATTATATTCTATGCTATATTATTCCTGATTTCATGTACACACTAACATTATCATCATCGGAAACCTTATTTCTTCTAACTGTAATTTGTCATACTTGCAGGACCATAATAAAGTAGTTAACATTATACACAGTGATCAAGCCGTGTGTTGTATACAGTCAGTAGCAAGATGACCTTGCTAAGATACTCTCCCATCACAGTGACCCACTTTCCAGCGGAGACATTGTCTAGCTTTCTGTCTAGCCAGGTCGGTGGGTCTATTCACAGCAATTCTGAATCTATGTATTACAATTTTGGAAACGTATACAGGTAAATTGATTATCACAAACATATTCTCTTGATACATGATTTGTCCCTTGCTAAATAACATATCTCCTAGTCAGTACATATCTGTATTTATAAAATATGTCTCCAGGTAAAGAATATGTCTCCTGGTACAAAAAGTGTCTTCTGTTGTATCATGTCTCTGGGTATAAAACATGTCTCTAAGTACATAATATTTTTCCTGACACGAAGCATGCCTCCCATACAAAAACATTGTTCGGGTAAATCAGGTCTCCTGATACAAAAAAAGTCTTTTTTTTTTGTCTCCTAGCACAAAACAGCTGATTCCAGGTACAAAACATTTGCTAGGTGAAAGGGCTACTTGAACATGGATACCCTACATTAAGAGTGTATATCATATATTTAACATCTTTCCATCAAACAGCAGGTGAATTTTGCCTATAAGCTGAACAGATGGTATTAAATGTTGAAGTATACACTATGTTTTAAACTTAGCCCAGTTTCATGGACACTTGGTAACTAAAGCTGCATGATAACCACATAAATCTCAAATGACAGGGCATGGCTATTTCTCTGGTGTGTAAAATATCAAGATAATATTAAGATGTGGTTGTAAAAGAGATATATTAATTGATGAGAGTTATTAATATCATACCTACCTCCTGATCAATGGGCATGTTCTTAATCATTTTTCCTCAATTCTCACATGTTTGGTAAATTTTGAACAAGGTACCCAATTTCATCCAAATAAACATCTCGAAATTCTGTGTACAACACAATAAGTTTGTAAATCGTATCAAGTAGATTGATATTAATTAATTCCTCTGCATCCTTTGTAGAACTGTGTGAGGTCTGTCTGCATAAAATAACACATAAGCATATATAGTCAGACACTTTTGCAGACCTTCACATACACACCTGAATCAGAAATCAAATAAATGCATGGTCAGCTTTCAAATAGAGCTATTCATAGTCTAAGTTCTTCTCCTTGAAATGTTTTAAGTCTGATTCGATCCTTTTTATAACACAAATATGAAAATATGGCACATTAACCCAAGGATACATCTGAAATGAATCACTTTCAGTTTCAATTTTGATGATTCCATGGACAAAATCTAACTATTGAAACTCACATGACTAAGAATCTAT